TTCGAAACGCAATGGTGCGAGAAATATATGTTATTCACATCAAATAATTGGGACGTTTTCGAAAACAGGCCTTTCCAGAGACGTTGATTATTTTTTCGTTTTTGCCCCTATTCACTCTTATTTTATTCGATTTCTATAAATGTATATGATTTGGTTTACAAACGCAATGGTTCGAGAAATATATGATACTCACATCAAATAATTGTGCCGTGTTCGAAAACAAGCCTTTCCGAAGATGTTGATCTTTTTTTTTTTGTTTTTGCCCCTATTAGTCTTATTTTCCTCGACTTCTTTAAATGTATACGAATTTGCTTCAAAACGCGATGGTGCGAGAAAATATGTTATCCACATCAAATAATGGTGTTGTGTCGAAAACTAGCCTTTCCGGAGACGTTGATTATTTTTTCGTGCTTGCCCCTATTTTACTCTTACTATCCTCGACTTCTTTAAATGTATACAATTTTATTACGAAACACGATGGTGCGAGGAATATATATATATATTATTCCCATCAAAATATGGTGATGTGTTCAAAAACAAGCCTTTCCAGAGACGTTGATTATTTTTCGATTTTGCCCCTATTTACTCTTATTTTTCTCGACTTCTTTAAATGCATACGAATTTCCTTCAAAACGCGATAGTGCGAGAAATAAATGTTATCCACATCGAATAATGATGTCGTGTTTGAAAACAAGCCTTTCTAGAGACGTTGAATATTTTTTCGTTTTTTCCCCTATTTACTCTTATTTTCCTCGACTTCTTTAAATGTATACGATTTTGCTTCGAAACGCTATGGTGCGAGAAATATATGTTATACACATGAAATAATGGTGCCGTGTTCGAAAACGAGCCTTTCCGGAGACGTTGATTTATTTTTCCTTTTTTCCCATATTTACTCTTATTTTCCTCGACTTCTTTAAATGTATACGATTTTCTTTCGAAATTCAATGGTGCGAGAAATATATGTTACTCACATCAAATAATGGTGTCGTGTTCGAAAACAAGCCTTTTCGGAGATGTTGATTATTTTTTTTTGTTTTTGCCCCGATTAACTCTTATTTTCCTCGACTTCTTTAAATGTATA